CGGGCAGCACCCCGCGCCGTCCAGCGCCCTCGGCTCGCAGGGCGCGCCCGCTGTGGCCGTCGCTCTCGCAGGACGGCACGGAGGGGAGCGGCGGCGGAGGCGAGCTGCAGGGGCTGCCGCCCCGCGTTCCGTAAGGAATCAAAGCTGCGCTCGGTGTGCAGAACCTGACCTGGTGGAGTGTTCTTGGCAGGCCGGGAAAAAAAGTTTTTTGTTTTTGTTTTTTTTTTAATTGGGAAGTCCACTCTCTAGACGTTTGCAGAGTATAGGGGAAACGCCGGAAACTGGCACCCAAAATGCTCAAACCTCCACCCAAGGGCTGTTTAGTGTAGCTTTGGGCTGGAAAAGCAAGTTTCTTCCAATTTAGATATAATTAGCTAAAAGAAATGAGCAACATTTGTTTAGCAGCAGTTATCAAAATGTGAAAGCAACACGTTTCCTTATTTTAAGTGTTATAATGAGAAAGGTCGCTTGCCATAGACAAAAGCGTTCCCTGAACGCTTACTCTGTGTCTGGCACTGTGCTGAGTGATTTTTATACATTATTGGTTTTAATCCTCAAGCTTTATGAAGTTAACTACCGTTTTTATTCTTCACAGAAAGAAAAAAACCCTGAAGCTTTCAGGAGTAATTTTCCTAGGGTCACACAGCCAGGAAGTTAGAGATTTGAGCCTGGTCTAGCAAGCTTCAGAGCCCAGGCTTTTAATGGGGTTTTTGACCTCGAATTTGTGGGAACACGACCAGATTTATTTGAATAAAGAAAAATAGTGTAAATGCCTACTTGTCTATAGGTAGAAAAGATTTGGAAGACTAGAACAGCTGTTACCGCAGGGGACTATAGTAAGTGGGTGTGTAGTAGGGTACTTCCAGTATTTATCTTATACACTCAACTAGTGTTTGAAATGGTGGCATTGGCCATGTGTTAACGCGGTAAATTTTTTTAAAGATTTTTTTTTTAATTAGCTGGACTAGCAGAATTATGTTTTCTAAAAACCCAGAGCATTCCCAAAAATTTGGAGAGGAAACAGGAAATGGAGTGTTTTTAGGTCCTGTCCTACTCTACTAATATTAGTTTGTAGTTTCCTATAATGAGGTCTGTCCCATTGCTATATTCAGATTTTCTGTTCTGTCCTCATGCCCAACTGTGAGTTATCAGGAGTTAAGAAAAGATTCCCCTTACTTTCTACCCCTCCCTTTTTTGGCAGAAGATCAAAGTCCATCAGTCCTCTGCAACAAAAGATTTCACACTTTCAGAAACTGCCGTGATACTTGTGCGAATAAACGATTCCCCACTGCACTGCCGTATTACTGAATAAAACCTCCTGCATGCTCGAGATACATGAGTGTTTCTACAAAAAAACAAACAATAAACTGACAGTGTAATGATTTCCATGTCCAACTGCAACTCAGTTGCTTGAACTTGAAGGAATCATGTAACTTCTACTCACTAATATACTCTCTGGGCTCCCTCTGAACTTCATGCCATTTTTATAACTATATCCTGTCTTGTAGTAAAGTTGTTTATGTATTTGTCTTTTACTAGATTGTAAGCTCCTCAGGGCCTGGGACCTCGTCTTCTTGTTTGGACAAAATAGAGCACTTAACAAGGAATCATAAGGTTTATCGCTTAATTGAATCTATAAAATATAAACAATACAGTAGTTCCCTTTATGGGTAGGGGATATATTTCAGGACCCCGGGGGATGGCTGAAACTACACAGTAATAAATGCTACCTACAGGCCTCTTTTCCCTGTACTACCTGCCTATGATGAAGTTGAATTTCTACATTAGGCATAGTGAGATTAACAATAATAATAGTAAAATAGAACAATTACACATAGCTATACTTTAAAAAAAGTTATACGAATGCTCATTTGCTCATTTTTGCAAAATATCTTCTTGTATGTTAACTTCCACCCTTTAAGGAACAACTTTGCTGCTTCTCTTGGACGTGGCTGAGTTGTCCTCACACGATTCTTTTGTGCTGGGAGGATACTGGTAAACAACGTAAGCGTTATTTGAATACAAGCACTATACGACCGCAGTGGTCTATCTGATATCTGAGGGCTACTAAGTGACTAACAGGTGGGTACCGCATACACTGTGGATAGGCAAGAAAAGGAAGATTCATGTCCAGATGGAACACAGGACAAGGCAAGGTGACATGCTATTCAGAAGGGGGAGCAATTTAAAACATAAACTTTCTTTGCTGCTGCTTTTGATGTTTTGTTTTGTTTTGTTTTGTTTTGCTTTTGATTTTTTGAGACAGACTTTCACCATGTACTTCAGGCTGACCTTGATCTCCTAGCAGTCCTCTTCCCTCAGCCTCCCGACAGCTAGGACTACAGGTGTGCGCCGCTATGGCTGGCCACAAATTATTTCTAAAATTTTCCACTTAATATTTTCAGATCTCGGTTGACCACAGGTAACAAAAAGTTTCATGCTGAGGATAGGGGCACACAGTAGGACAGTACCTGTCCCAATCCCATGTCCCCTTCCACGCCTCGTGCTCCAATGCCTTGCTCATAAAACAGGTTTATGAAAGACATTTGCCATATTTTGAAGGAACCTAGATTTCTGTGAAATCTCCAAATAGTTATATATTTAAAATTAGCCATAAAAGGTAGAAAAGACAGTAAATACATTGGCTTACTGATGTGAAGAAAAAAGAGCAAAGATATAGGAACTGGGTTATTACCAAAGAGAACAACCCAATAAGGAAAAAATGTGGGTGCAGATCATAAAGGGGAAGGAAATTACTGAAATTTAGTAGAAGCGGAAACTTGACAGAGGATCGATGGGTGAGGAAGGATGGATGCAACCAAAAGGATCAACAATTACAAAATGCAACATAATGTATGTATTTAACAATACCTAAGAACAGTCAGGACAACATGAGTGCTATAGGGCAAGAATTTATATTTTGTCTGCCTTCTCTTCCACGTTCAATTTTCAGAGTGTTCACTTTTTCATTCATAAACTACATAATAAAAATGGGAGATTTTGTACCATTTTTGTATTTACCTATGTGTTTGGGGGTTGTTTTTGCAAGGGGAACAATACAATACAGGACACGTATTTTATAGGATTATTTATAATAGTCACCCAAAGAATGATATGCCTGAGAGCATGCAGGAAATCTGTCCACACACTATAGACCAGGAATCCAGCTGAGGGCCTGGATCCCAAAATGATATCCTTCACGAGGCCGGCTAGATAGAGCCCATAATGATGCCTCCCATGAATCCAGCT